CTTCTTCTTCCAGTGTGGTGCAGAGATGCCAAAGGTTGGACACCCCTGGTAGTGACTTGTGCTGAATTTTTCTCATTATAAAATAGTGTACCATTACATCCCAGGATTGCTATAAGAGTAAAGTTAAAAAATGAATGTAAACATGTTCTGCAAACTATAAAATGACATGGGTATATCAGTTATTATGACTACAGAGGAAGGGCGACAAGCACACTCTTTGAAGAAGACCTCGTAACAGAGAGCCAGAAAAATTAAAATAAACCTTGACAAAAAAAAATAATAAAACCTCCACAAGAGCCAGGAATAGACCCTGCATCTTCCCAAACCCCTTACTCTGATAGTCCTATATCAGAATTGCCTGGGACACTCTTAAAAATACAGATTTCTGGGTCCCAGCTTATACTTACTGAATCAGAATTGCTGGGGGTAGGGAACAGGAATCTGAGTTTTTGTTTGTTTGTTGTATCGTTTAAAAAATTTTTTTTATTAGCTGATAGTGTTCTCATTACATAGCTAAAGAGAACAGCAAGACTTGGGTAACGTAGCACACAGCAGAGCAGAATTGATTTAAAAAGACTTGGGCTTTCCATCTTGCTTGACCACTGATTTTTGTTGCCTCAGAACAATCACTGAATCTCTTTGGGCCTCAAATAACTCACCCATAAAATGGTCTCATGATCTATAAAGGACCCTTATAGTTCTGAATGGTTTTTTATTGTATTTTTTTTTTCAGGAATCTGAGGTTTATAGAAAGCTGCCTGATTGATTCTGGTGCAGCCAGTAGCATGTCAGTGGATAGTCTTTTGGAAACAATCACCTTGACCTTAATACATCCTAGTGAGAAACATGAGCTACCTTGGGCTGTGCTACTCAGATTAAACCTGGCTTCAGTCTTCAGAAAAGATGATGTATCTCCCATAATAGCTGGGAATGCAGAAAGATTTGAAACATCTTTCAAATAAGCATTTAGTATTGAGAACGTGCCTTCTACCACCATACTCCTTCTTTTCCTGAGCACCTAAGTGCTGTTAGGATTTTTACTGGCCCTGAGATTACTTTGGAAATTACCTCCCTTGATAATGCAAATGTGTATTTGCTTAATTTCTTTCCAACCAGTCATTTCCCTCCAGAAACCATACCACTCAATGTTGCACGCTTGCTGCTTGCCACTTGCCTTGGACAGCATGAGTTGTGTGGGTTGATGCCAACATGAACTTTTTACCTACGTGGGATCAGCAGTTGGAAAATCAAGAAGTGAGAAGAAAAGCAGAAGGATTGGTGCATATCAGCCATTTGTGCCATTTGCAGTGGTTCAAGCAGAGCAAAAACAACTAGGAGGGGAAGGAATCTAAACCTGCCTTGGACGCTGTTGTTCCATCCATAACAAGAGATGGTTCTGTTTCTGGGTCTAGAGGATGTCAAGGCCGCCTATGGGCTAACTTCTTGGGAGTCATTTTGAAATTTTCTATCAAATGATATCAAAGGAATATAATTAAATCTTTTACTATATGGCTCATTATTCTATAAATTTGGGCCAGATGTTGCAAAGATGCCTCTAGGGGCCCAGCAGGGAAATTCATTGAAAGATAGAGCTTGGCAACCAGAGAATGAGTGCCTCTTCTGAATGGGGCAGTTACCAATTGTTGCCATGTGCAAATGTGGCCCCAGATTGCCAAATATTCTGAGTTTTTTTCCCAAAAGGTTGAGCAATAGAAATAACCTTTCTTTTATGTTGACAAATTAAGGGAAAAATACTATTAAATGGGACCAACAAAATACCTCCAACTAAGCTTGAACTTGCAGACTATGAGTTTTTGACCCCTGATTTATATACTATTATTCAAAATCATGATCTCCTAGCAACTGAAAAATAATTATGCCCATACAGTAAACCCTTATACCTGTACAATCAGCCATGACATATTCAGCCCTGTCTTCCAGAATGAACATTGTACATAGGGATGTAAAAGTCAGCTCAATAGAACTTGAGTCTTCAGAAATAGCCAGAATAGTCAAATCACCATTGGTCTGTGATGCGTGCACCGGCTTGCAGTGCCCATGGCATCATGGATGAGATATGAGACAAATTCACACGGACTACTGAGTCCTGTGGAGGAAAAGGGCCCTCACAGCCACTCCCTCAAGGGGGAAGTACCTCAGAGTGGCTTGGCCACCCTCTCAAGGGGAGAGCGCACCAACCCTTGCCTAAACAGGCTTTTATTGGGTTTAATTTGCGCAGGAATACAGGTACAGCTCATTAATCATTGTCAGACAGTAAGGATCAAATAGTAGATAGCATACAAAGAACTATTAGGGCTTCTTCTGAGTCAGGGTCTATCAGCTAAAAGGCTACAAAACTTTGGGAAACAAACTCATTCCCTGCTTGGACCTTTATCATTTAACTAAGAGTATTCTTAACAAAGCAGGTTTCACAGGATTTTACATATCTTTTCTTAGGCCTGATCACTCCGGGAGCCCGCCCTTTCCAGCACAGGGCTGCACAGTCCTTTGTCATTGTTTCAGGCTTAAGTCAGGCAGAGGAGGCAGATAGCCAAAGAAATTTCGGAGACTTCTCGTGGACTCAGGGGGGTCAGGCTTGGTCAAGGCCAAGGGGCAAGGGTCCATCACCCCCTTTCTCCATAGCCCCCCAAGTCCTTCCCTGGGGCCTCCACATGATCATGCCTGTCTTAGGTCAATTCTCCCTTGAGGAATCTTACCCGTCATTGGCTAACTGATCAAGTACTGGAGGCCAGTTAATGGAAAAAGGAGCAGAGGCAGCACTCCTGTCAGGGAGATAAGCTTTGTCTCCTTAGTGGCTTATGGTCCAAAAGTTGCTCACTCAGCCTTAGCCATGGGGGGGTTTACACCTCCTGAAACCAGGCAGGGTGGTTCCCAACAGGTCTGAACAATAGCTTTTATAAAATGCTAATCAGCCATTGGTTAGGATTTGGTTTTCTATCTGTGGGACAGGGACATAACCAGACCATATTCTTTTCCCTGTAACGTGGATTATCCATCCCCCCAAGAATAGCAGGGGATGTTCCTTATAGCACAGCTTTCTCATATGGGGCCCATAGGCAGGACCCGGGCCAGGGGTAAATCACTGAACTCAAGAATGTCAAATAGAAACAGACCCATAGATACAGAGAACTGACACCTGTCAGAGGGGAGGAGAGTTGAAGGGCAGGGTGAAAAAGATGAAGGGATTAAGTATAAAAATAAAAAGTAAAAACCTCATAGACACAGACAACAGTATGGTGATTATCAGAGGGAAAGGGGGCTAAGAGTAGAAAAGGATAAAGGGGGGATAAATGGTGATGGAAAAAAGCTGGATTTGATGTGAACACAAATTACAATATACAGATATTATATTATAGAATTTTACTCTTGAAGCCTATATAATTTTACTAACCAAAGTGACCCCAATAAATTAAATAAAAATTTTAAAGTAAAAATTTTCCTGAAATGGAGGAAAAAGCAAGTGTGCAAAATCTGATTAAAGAAACAATGAAGAGAAGAAAACCTTTAAAAGAAAGAATATCTGTGGAGGTTGCAGCAGGCATCAAATTTGCTTTGCTGGAAAGCATGTACCTGCAGGACATGGTCAAAGACCATTTCCCTTCATTTTCTTCAGAGACTCCCAGTACTCCCAGGGAAGTAGAGGAAATAGCTTTCCCACTTTGCACTAATGAATGCCGTTTATGAAGTATTCATTAAACAGTATTTCTATTTGAAAGCCAGCAGTACACATAGACTCCAGTTGATTTGTAAAATATGAGTGATGGATATCTCCATTTGAGAGATATTGTAAGATCTTGGATAACCTGTAACTTGGCCCTTTAATATTTCCCAGAATATAAATGGTGTTGTGTATTTTTACATGTGATAAGCATAGAAGAATTTTAGCAGTAAGGGTACCAGCAGAGAACAGATAACATACTGAGAGAGAGTTTCACCCGCTAGGTGAAACTTTTCAAATGCATGAGCAGGGATAAAGAAGCCCACATAGGACAGTGAAGCATCTAAGACATCAGGGTAGCAACAGCACAAAGTCATTACCACCTGTTAGCCTGAAGAGAGGGAAATGGGGCGGGGCTACCAGATCCCAGCAAAGGTTCTCTTTGTGGAAGGGCATCTGCTAGCAGACTCTGTGTGTGCAGAGCCTCACAGCCACTGCCTGCACCCCTTTCTGACTTCCATTCTCTGGCATCCTGCCAGGTTCCTCCATTGGCCGAGTCCAGCCAGAACCTAGAGGGCAAAGGAGCCCAGGAAATTCTATCCAAATTGGTCAGCCTCCGGGAGCACAGAGTAGGGTAGAGAGTGGCAGATACAGATGCAGGACAGAGGGGCAAAGGGAGTTATTATCATGAAATGTTAGAACAGGAAGGCACTTTTCATCCTCTTTTTCTCATTATGTTGTTAAGGAAAGTGAAGCCCAGGAAATTGAAATGACCGAGTAAACATGATAATCCCAAAATAAGGCATTCTTAAGATCCAAGGCAGCATCTTCATATCCATTCTCCTGGCCTTTCCACTTTATCATGCTGGGAATTGTGAGTTACAAAACTCATATAGAGTAAGATGGACTAAAATGAGCACCTACACATTTACCATTGCTATACCTATCAGACATCACTAATCTATTACCAATTTCTCCACACACCCCACCCAGCCCAGATGTGCCCTCAGACTCTTTCTCATCCTAAGGCTCCAGGCAGTCACTAATAATTGATGCATCTGGCTGCCCAATTGCCTAACAACACTAAATCTTTAAATAGAAAGCTTCGGATTATTCTGTCTAATTAGATTATTCCTCCTCAAAACATGGCTCATTCCCTGAGGGTGATGCTTCCTTGAAGACTTGAACTGCTGGCCTGGTGACTTGATGGAAGGCATTTATGGTTTGCAAACAGGTGAAGCACCATAAAATTAATTTGCCTAAAGGTTAATAATAAAAAGCCCTAATCACATGTGGATTTTCTCTTTCTCTCTCCTTGCAGGTTGACAGAACAGAGGTGATTCGCACCTGCATAAACCCAGTGTATTCAAAACTGTTTACTGTGGACTTCTACTTTGAAGAGGTGCAGCGCCTGCGGTTTGAGGTCCATGACATCAGCAGCAACCACAATGGGCTGAAGGAGGCTGACTTCCTTGGCAGCATGGAGTGCACCCTTGGCCAGGTGGGTCAACAGATGTCTCTTCCTCCCTCTTGCCTTCTTAGGGACTTCCTTCTTTCCATTTATTTCTCTCCTCTTATTTAGTGCATCCTTTCTTTCTGTTGATTTTATTTTCTTTTACATGTGGCATTTTAGGGCTTCCCAGGCACTGTCATATCCATTGTATTTATATGGGGATGATGTTGCAACTATGTGAAGAGTTACTTACTTTGCTAAATTAATCATTTCTCTTCTGAATTTTTTTCATTTATTTAACAGTTGTTTATTGAGCACTTACTCTGCTCTGGTTGTGTGTCCGTTATAACTATATCTTGATGCATTATAAATTTCCATCTCCCAACTAACTGTGAGAACCCTCACACAGGGAATATTGCTCATTTTCATGTATTCCAAGCCTGTTGTGACCAAAAATAGCCCAGGAGAGGAGCCAAATAGATATTTAGTGGGGTGAATAAATGCTTTTACTTTATCTTCAGAGATAAACATCATTACTGTATACATTTGTCAGTGAGAAAACCAAGACTCAGAGAAGTTAAGCTTAGCCATGGCTGGTGTGGCTCCGTGGATTGAGCACTAGCCTACGAATCAAAAGGTTGCTGGTTCAATTCCCAGTCAGGGCACAGGGTTGTGGTCCAGGTCCCCAGTTGGGGGCATGCAAGAGGCAACCTATCAATGTATCTCTTGCATGTTTCTCTTCCTCTCTTTCTCATTTTCTTCCCTTCTCTCTAAAAGTAAATACATGAAATCTTTTAAAAATTTTTTTAAAAAGGAAGTTAAGCTTAAGGCACCAGACTAAGAAGTGGCAGAGCTAGAACTTGAACCAGGTCAGCCTCACTCCAAACCCCATCATTTTGTTTCCCATCATTTTGATTCCGTAACACCTTTCCTTTCTTTCTTCCCTTCCTGCTGTGCCCAGAACTTTAGTAGGTGCTCAGGGGAAATCTAAATGGAGAATTAGTCCCTGTGCCCAAGAAGGAGACACTCTGATCGGAGAAGACATATTATAGACATCTCAAATAGAGCAATTTAGGATGCTCCTGAAGCCACAATGAGACAAAATATCCTGGGCTCTACCCACAATGTGTTGTGGACCTTTGGGGAAGGGAGAGATTTCTGCTGGCTAGAATCAAAGAAGTCACTGCGGGACCAAATGGTGAAAAAATGTAGTCCAGGGATGGGAGAGAAAGCAGGGAGGCCTTTCAAGTAAGAAATCAGGGTAAACAAATCATAGAGATCAGAACAACTGTGGCAGAGTGAGGGGCAGAGGAGACCAGTTTCATGGATTCAAGGTCAGATGCTAATCTACTCTGAAACCAGTGAAGCTTAGACTTCAGAGCCTTCTATTCATGTGGACCCCTTCCAAGGCTCTATGTCACATTTTTATTTGTAGTTTTTTTTCTCAAAAAAGGATTCCAAATTGTATGAGCCTCTAATGCCACAAAACCAGCATCAGTCCCAGGCAGAGGTAAGGGTTTGAATAAGGGATTAGTAAGAAAGAGTCTGCCTGGCGAAGAGATGGCCCATATGCATTTTACTTCGTTTGTTTGTTTTTACCCTTCCTCATGTCACTAATCACTAAAAATAAACTTCTCCCACGTGGCACTGAGTGAAAAAAATAGGCAATGTCCTGAGTTACCTTTTCCCAGCAAATACAGCGATTACTTTCATAGGATTGTTCCTTGTTACTTTAATGAAAGGCAAAAGCCCAATGCGGAAGTACAGCTGAGGGGAGGCAGTCAGAGCAGGTGGCATAGTCTCCGCAAGTATAATCTCTCTCGTGACTCTTGGGAAGGATTGATGGCACAGTGTTCTAAGGTATTGCCAGGGATAGTGTCCAATAAGTAGTCACTGAGTGAATGAATTTCAAGTGAAATAGTAGCATAGACGGTAGATAGAAAATAGATAGTGGGGGCAAGATTAGTATGGGAAATATAGAATCTAAAGAACTTGAGACACGTGTTCATGAACTAAAGGGGGGAATGGTGGGGGAGGGGGTGTGCAGGGTGGAGGGGAATGAAGGGAGGAAATAGAACAACTGTAATGGCATAATCAATAAAATATATTAAAAAATTAAATTAAAATAAAATAAAAAAGTGAAATTCCATAATTTATAAATAAAATAAAAAGGTGATTAAAATGGCATTTTTTAGAGGCAAGATGAGTTACTCCAAGATTTTCTTTAGGCAAGGGAATTCCTTATGTGTAAAAGCCAAAGTCTGTCCCAAGAAATAAATGTAGATCCATGGAGAGGTCCTGTGAGTGAAAGATCCTTTTCATGCAAAGCTTTGCTCATTTTGTGCATGTAAGTATCCCTCAAACTCACATCTTTAGTCTCTCACCAGCCTCATCTTTCCAGCAGCCATAAGTCCTTGACCCTCTACTTTGTGCCCGGCTTTGTCCTCGATGCCAGTGATATAGTGGTGTGCCCAACATTGTCCCTGCCTCAAGCTGCTCACAGTCCAGTTGGGGATAAAGAGGGGAGCAAATAATTGCACAGACAATTAATTAAACTGCATCCCTTACAACCACTGTTAAAGAGAAATATAGGTTAGGAGACCAAGCATTAAAAGAATGGCATCAGGTGGCCAGGAGGTCATGGAAGATTCCTGGTGGGAAGTGACATTTCCAGTGAAACTGGATGGGAGCGTGAGAAGAAAGGGTCACATTCCAAGCAGGTGGGGACATGACAGATCCCCTTTCCCGGGCCACAGAGACCTGGTCAGACTCCAAGATCCTGTAACCAATCTTCATTTCATTCATTTAGAAACTCATTCTGCATTGGCTTGAGAAGTGACTTTCAATCAGTTTAGTAAAATCATTTTCTCTTAGTTAGCACTTTTATACCCAGTTATCTGGTCCCCATAGCTAGATTATAAGTTTCCGAAGGCAGAGGCCACACTCAACACTTCTTTGTGTCTAATGGAACACTTTCTTTGCATGTACCACATGCTCAAGAAAAATTTATTAATTAGCTAACTTTGAAAAGATTTTTTAACATGATAAAGTTCATTTATTTATTTATGCTTTTTTTTTTCTACAAGCATTTAACGAGTGCCAGGGCCATGCCAAGTACCATGCTAGGTACTAGAGGCATAAAGATGAAAAAGACAGAAGCCCTGCCCCCAGAAGAGTTTATAATTAGCTGGAGACATAGACTGATTAATAAATAATCAAAATGCATATTATTAAGTACCACAATAAGATGCTTTCCATGAGTAGGGGGGAAAATATGTATCTCTGCTCAAAGGGAATCAGGGAGGTCTCACAGAAAAAATGAGTCTGGACCTGAATCTCTAAATGGTGAGTAGGAATTCAGCAAAGAAAAGGGTGAAAAACAAAACCCAAGGGCTCTCCTGGCAAAATACCATCCACAAAGGCACAGAAGCACAGGAATGAAAGAGGACATCAACATAACCAGATAAATATGTGAGCATGGGAAAGAGATAGAGGCTAGATAGGGGAGGACAAGCCAAACCATGAGGCTTTTAAATACCTTTCTTTAAAGTTTGTGAAGCATAAACATGAGGCACTGGAGACCTGGAAGGGTTTCCACTAGTAAAAGACAAGACTGGGTGTATACACTAGAAAGGTCATTTTGGCATCCCTGTGAAGGGTGGATGGGAGAGAATGGATGGGGGGCACGGAAACCAGTCAGGAAGCTAAGGCAATAACAGGAAAGAGATGAAGAGGGCAGTGATCATGGAGGTTGAGAAGAGGCCCAGAGAAGAGTTTGTTCAAGAGCAGAACCAATGAGGGTGGAGACTGGTTGAGGGAGAAGGAGTTATGAGATACCTGGTGTAGGTTACTGGTGAAGCAATTTGGCTTTCTTTGAGGGAAATGAAACTGAAGAGTGAGTTGCAGAATAGAATGCAATGCTGACAGGTTCAGCTCAGGATGTGTGTGCGGAGCAACCAGAACAAGTTGCCGGTTGGTAGCTGAGCACAGGGATCTGAAGATAATATAGATTTAGGAGCTAACTCCCTACAGATGGTCATGGTCATGGAAGTGGGTGAGATCCCTCAAAGGGACTCTTTTATTTTTATTTTTGGAGGGAAACTTGTTGAACATGCCACATATGAACAAATCATACAGAATTTTTTATTTTTAATTTTTTTATTGGTCAATTACAATTGTCCCCATTTCCCCCCATTACTCTCCCCTGCCCTACCCACCCCCCACTTTCCACATTCAACCCTACTTTCCACCATTGTCTTTGTCCATGGGTCCTTTATACATGATCCTTGACCTGACTCTTCCCCTTCTTGTCCCCATTAATCATTGGGTATGTAAGAACATCTCTACTTTCAGATAAAAGTGTGAACTTGATGTTGTTTTGAAATCAAAACCTTTTGGTGAGTGTTTTCTGTGTGTAGACTGACATACTAGATACATGTATTTGTAATAAAACCTTCATGAAGGGCAGGCAGTACTTTTACACTCCATAGTTACAGATTATGACATTTAGGCATGAATGGGAGTTTTCCTCTTTTTTAAAAGAATTGTTCTCTCAATGTGATCAAGCAATAAGAAAGACCTTCAACATGTTCCCTCTGTATAGCTCCTTGTACAGCATAGTTAGGCAGGGAATGGCTGGCTGTGAGCTGGCGAGCAGTGCCAGGAATGGCGTGGTCAGATCCAAAGACTGTCTCATCACATTCCAGTGTGCAGGCTGTGGAACCTGGTGGTCCAGCGTCAAATCCCAGCTCATCTGCTCTTGAGTTGTACGTGCAGAGGTGGATTCCCACAGCTATTTAAGCCTCAGTTTCCTAACTTGAAAAATGAAGATAGCGGTAATGCTGGCCTCAAGAAATATTGTCAAGATCAAGAAAATATACGTGAGGAGTTTAGCAGAGTCACTGGCCCGGAGAGAGACTCAGGGTATGGAAGCTGTTGTTAAGACAGTGAGAGTCAAGAAAACAGTGGGAAGAATTGGCACTTGTAGGGGCCAACATTGTTTCGGGAGTGAAGGTGGCAGTGAAAAAGCATGAAAGCATCATGACAGA